TGCACGTCCTTTTGGTCCACCTTCATTGACTCAGATCATGCACTGGTCTGCGCGAAAACCTGTATGTATTTTGGGGGTCCCAAAACACGAAGCACCGCAGGATTGATGTAAACAGATTAAATGATTCCTCTGTCCAGGCGAGCTATAAGTCTTCACTCGTATATGCACTCAGTTGCAATCCACCGCAAGACGTAGAGCAACACTGAACTTGTATACCGAAAGCGATGACCATGTCCGGCCTAACTCGACGCCCCCAAAGGCTTGGATCTCTGCTCGTTCTCTGGAGCTGTTCGAACGCCGCAAAGATATCCCGGCGGAATCAGATTGCAACGAGCGGCGCCGTTCTGCCAACCGGATGCTCAAGCAAAGCCTACGCAAGGATCGCGAGACATGGTGGTCTGAGCGTGCTTTAGAGATGGAGACCGCTGCCCTCTCTGGCAACACTCGCAGGCTTTTCCAACTCATTCGGTCCACTGGCCTCAGGAAACCTGGTGTCAGTGAGGTCATTTGTGAGGTGGATGAGTCTCCGATCACCAACCAACAGAGGCGTATGGACCGTTGGGCCGAGCACTTTCACTCGCAGTTCAACTGGCCTCCACCATCCGTCAGTACATGCAGTACACGTTGTTGTCCACCCTGGCTCGTCCCTCTGAATCCACCCAGCGAAGCGGAAGTCTGCCTCGAGATCCGACGCTTGAAGCGGTTCAAGACTGCCGGCTCAAACGGACTTCCTCCGGAGCTGTTCAAGTACGGCAGTGTGGTGATCATTAACCAGCTGACCGCGCTGTTCACAAAAACCTGGCATGAAGAGAAAGTGCCTTCCTCTTGGGGCGAATCAGTTATTGTCCGGATTTTCAAGAAAGGCGCTTGCACTTCATGTGTAAATCATCGCGAGATGTCTTATTTCGGTTGCCTCCAAGCTATTGGTATCCATTCTGCTTCGTAGACTATCTCTAGTACGTGAAGAACAAGCTGGTTTCCGTTCCGGCCGCGGATGCGTGGATTAAATCTTCACGCTCCGCCAGCTCCTCGAACATCGCCACAGTTATCACAGGCCCACTATTGTTGCATTCCTAAACATACGTGCCGCTTTCGACTCCGTTGCTCGACCTACTTTATGGCGTTGCTTGCTAAAGAACGGGGTGCCATCTTACGAGCACTTTACCTTCATACATCCGGCAGAGTGAGGGTCTATGGCAACCTTTCCCCGCAATTCGCTGTCAATAGAGGTGTGCGACAGGGCTGCCCTATGTCCCCATTCCCCTGCAACTTCGCAATCGAAGACGTTCTGTCGAATACTATAGAAGGTTTCCAACATTTTGGACTAGATCTTCTACCGGGTGAGCGTGCGACCGATTTACATTATGATGATGATATGGCCTTACTCCGTGACGATCCTCAGGGTATGCAACTCATTTTGGATCGTTTAGCGGTCGAAGCATCTCAGATTGGTATGAGCTTCGCCTCATCGAAGTGTAAAGTACTGCTCAAGGAATGGTTTTCACCTGCTTTCGTGCTCCCTCTCGACAGTGCACAACTTGAACAGGTAGATAGTTTCGTTTACCTTAGGAGCTGTGCTTCTGCTGACGGCACCATCAGCAAAGTACTTTCTCTTCGCATGGCTAAAGCTCGATCAGCATTTGTCAATCTGAGGCACTTGTGGCGTCGTCGCGACGTCTCATTCTCGCTAAAGGGCCGCGTTTACAGAACATCTGTTCGCTCAGTCTAGTTGTATGGGAGCGAGTGCTTAGGTTGCCTTGTTTTCGCGGTCATCCTATGAAGCTACACAAGCCGCTTTCTGACCGGATCAGGGCGGAAACTTGGTTATCGCGTAGAGTTAGCGAGCGCTGGAACTCACTTCCAGAAAGTTTAGTCAGTGAACCTACGGTTAGGGGTTTCGAGCGTCAGTTAGACGTTATTGGGTGGCAACACGAACCTTTCCCTTCTCCTGACTATATCAATCTTCAAACTTTTAGTTCTTATGCTGTCATTCTCTTCACTCTGATGTTATCCTTCATTTTAATGACTCATTCCCCTTTATCTTCCACTTTCTACTTTCTTACTTCACGTAACCTACACAGCGGGGACTGCTAGTGCAGGGAACGTGGGCAGTAATTGGTTGATCAGGGTGTGTTTCGGATGTTTCGTTTTAGCTCTATCAAGAACTAGCACCTTATCACTTCCTGGCTCAACGATTTGCTCAGGAAGGAACACTCAAGGGATTTTCCTATCGTTCCAGTCCATCTGAATCTGTACCTTTATCTTAAATCTTTACGAAGGTTATTTGAGCTCTCATTCACTCCTCTGTATTTTCCTCGTTTTCATGCTTATCTATTTTAAGTATGCTGATTACATGACAGCGATGTATCAGGGCTGAGTACAAATGTCCTGTTGTTTTTGCTATCATCGTTTATTGCGGTACTCGTTGAGTGGGCGCGAATTAACTGTGGGTTAATATTTTGGAACATATTTGGAACCGATCGGGAAGTCATCATTTCAGAAAACTTGGTAAACGACCGGTTAATGTATTTATGATGATACACAATGTTTCGCATTTGACACAGATGCTTCATCAGGCCAAAGCATTTGTGTCAAATGCGAAACGTTGTGTATCATCATAAATACATTAACCGGTCGTTTACCAAGTTTTCTGAAATAATCGTGGGTTATTTGTAGCCTCTAAGCTACAGATATTCTGAAGAACTGGAATGAGAAAAAATTTGATGGTTTGAACAAATAAACCATTTCATATCTGTCGATTGGTTCAATTGATCGATACTGTTCACATAGCCTGGGAAAAACTTAAGGCTCACCTGGTCGACATTTCTGCACCTCACATCCCACTGGTAAACAGAAGGGAATCGAGAGCGCAGCCTCCGTGGATAGATTCTGCGGGGAAGGGCCTGCTAAAGAAGCGGTCTAGATGGTGGCGAGCATACCGAATAGCTCCGTCGAACATCACGTTTGACAAGTATCGGCTGGTTCGAAATGAGTGCAAGCTACATCTTAGGTTGGCCCGGCTTCAGTATGAAAAAGGCTTAGCTAATAATGCCTCGAAAAATCCCAAGAAATTCTTCGCTTACGTTAAACGACGCTGTGGTGCAAACTCGCCCATACCACCATTGCTTCGAGGAGATGGGACCCATGCCTATAGCGAATATGACAAGGCATGCATGCTTGGTAAGCAGTACTCAAGCGTCTTTGTCCGCGAGACAAATACGCCATGCAAAGAGTTAGCTTCAAGCGTCTCTGAGGACTGTTGTCTGGATGGAATTCCTGTAACTGAGTCCCAAGTTCTCCGGTTGCTAACAGAGGTGAATCCAACTAAGGTTTCCGGGCCAGATTCCGTTCATCCAAAATTGTTGCATGAATTGGCAGTGGAACTCAGTGGATCTCTGACTTGTGTGTTTCAGAAGTCACTCAACAGCTGTATCTTGCCTACCGAATGGAAGGAGGCTGTTGTCTGTCCGATTTTAAAATGCGGTGACAAAGACCTACCGGCTAATTACAGGCCTGTCAGCTTGAGTAGCGTGGTCGTTAAGTTACTTGAACAACTAGTGTGAGATACAGTGGAGAACCATTTAAATAGGTTTAACCTGTTTTGCTTCGAGCCACGTGGTTTTCGCAAAGGATTTTCGTGTCAGACGAGCTTGCTGGTAGCTCGTGAGTGCTGGCCTGAAGCCGTAGACAGTGGACATACGGTGGATGTGGTGTTCATTGACTTCGCCAAGGCCTTTGACACTGTCCCTTATTCGCGACTCTCACTGAAGTTGAGGTCGTATGGAATAGCTGGTCGTGCTCTCCATTGGGTGTCAGCTTTTCTAGATGGACGGGAACAGTGCATTCCTGTGGAAAGCAGTCTTTCGTTTCGACAAGCTGTACTTAGCGGCGTTCCGCAAGGCTCTGTCCTAGGTCCGCTGTTTTTTTTCTGTCTAGGTGATTGACTTGCCGGAGGAGCTTGAGGTACCATCGCTCTTATTTGCTGATGATCTAAAGCTCCGGAATATTGTTGATATCCCTGGAGGTCTTGTGGCTCTTCAACGGGCTCTGGATAGACTCTGTGAATGGTCTGTCTTGTGATTGCTGCCCATAAACCGGGCATAGTGTTCAGTTCTGCGTATCGGAGCGTCTGCTTCCTCCACAAGTTATGTGCTCGATGGGAGTGAACTTCTTCACATGACTCATCAGGTTGATCTAGGTGTCTTCCACTGTTCCACACTACACTGGCGACAACTGGAAGAAGGCGGCTAGTAAAGGGTTCCGGATGTTGTGGTTTATCCGTCGTTCTTTCGGGACCCTAACCGCTGATGTGCTTGTGAAGCTTTTCTCAGCGTTTGTGCGACCCCACCTAGAATATTGCCTCTAGGCCTGTCCGCCATGCCTTATCCGTGACAAAATGGCACTAGAAAGGGTGTTGCGTGTCGGTACTAGGTCAAGGGACTACAAGGGCAAACGTAACCCGAACGCCTACTTAGTTTGGGGATGCAGTCAATGCACTATCGAAGGATTAGAGGGGACCTAATCCTAACCTACCGTATTTTGACTGGGAAGATTGGCCCTGATTTGTCCATGCTATTTAGTCCTGCTAGATTATCTGGTCTTCGCGGGCATTGTATGAAGCTGGACAAACCGCGGTCCGATCGAGTTAGAGCGGAGACATGGTTATCACGTCGAGTCATTGAGCGCTGGAATCTGCTTCCAGAAAACGTTGTCAAGAAAGCTACGGTTAAGGAGTTTGAGCGTCAACTAGACGCTCTTGGGTGGCAACACGAAACCTTTCCTTTTTCCTGACTAATTCCAATCTTCATACTTCGATTCTGTTTTCTCTACTTTTCCTCGCCATTGGTATTCTCTTCTTTTAACTGACTTCTCCTACTCACTTACCTTCGCTTTTTCTTCCTCTCTCACTTCACGTAACTGACAGCTGGGACAGCTAATGTAAAGAACGTGGGCATTAAATTGGTGGACCAGGGTGTTTTTTTGATGTTTTTTTAGACCCGTCAAGAAGTCGGAGCACCCCATCAACTCCTGGATCGACGACCCGCTCAAGGAGGAACACTTACGGGATTCATCCTATCGTTCCAGTCCCACTTGAACTTACAGTTGGTTGCTTATACGCAACGTGCTTCTTTGCTGCAGGTGTCTATTTTATTTCACCTATACCAAGGCAAAAGCTTTTAGATCACATGTTCTAATCTCTCATGATAATGGTTTTTGGTTAACCTTGCCAGCCTGAAAGGACTATTCTCCGTTATACTTTAAAAGACGTATTGCATTTCCACTTTTTTGACTGCTACTTTTCGTTCTTGAGTTGTGCATGAGCTTGTGGTAACTTGCGTCAGAGAACAACTTGAGTTGCTTTTGAGTGCTTGGATTACTCATTGTAATCTGATTTTTGTTTGCCAGAATGACGCTGCAGAGCTCTCGGATAAAGCAGCCTTTGAGTCTCTGTATTCTGAGACCGAAGCCAGAACCAACAGACGCATATTCGTCAGCAGCATATCCAAACGGTGAAACAGTCAGTGCTTTTCTGGATCCTCAGGAGAATGCCCAATTAGATTCAAAAGCTCAGTGTACTTCTGGTCGGTTGTTGAAAACTGAACAAGACGCTTCTGTGAGCCCTTCGGATGTATGTTGCAGATGGGCGGTTGGGACAGTGATGCCACGTTCCATTTCTCAGCAAGGTATTAATCAACAATGGGCACAAATACCTAACTGTACATAGTTTCACACTACCAATTGTCATACTGTTTGTAAGTTGCCTCTACTTGCGGATGTAGGCAATAGAACGGAAAAAAGCTGCATCCAGAGAAGTAGAATTTTACGGTGCAAGTTTCTGCTTTATCAACGGTTGTTACCAATCAGGCATGCTCGTGAGTCTGTGATTTACTAAAACTATCAGTATTGTTGTGGCACTTAGCGGACTAAATTTGTGAGTGCCACAATATTGCATGGATCGATGAAGCGGACAGTAGCAGATGTTACTGCACCGACCCACCAAACCTGCGAGTATCGAAAGGAGGGCAACAAAGGCGGCGGTAAAGGGGAATTAGTAGAACGGGAATAAGTCAAACACAACCGGGGTTTAGGAAAAATGTGTGCAAGGGATGGGGATTGTCCAAACGCTGTTCGAGCTTCTCCAAGTCGGGTATGGCTTGTGAGCCGAACTCCACTGGGATCAGTCGTGGCCGCAGATTGTCCGGGGCACCTGACAGCGTGACCAAATAATCTGCCCACCTCAACAACGAGAATTGTCTGGACGTATAAACGTCATTTGCATAAGGATCTAGCAATCAGGATGACGAGATTGGACTTTTACGTGATTCGATGGTTTACGTGCCCCGACAAGCCTTTGTGCTAACCTGGAACTGCTTTTTGCACTTTCTAAACCACTCAAATCAGATTGGTCAAGGGTTAGACGCCAGACAAATTCAGTTTCCTGTCTTCCCAGTTTTGTTTTTGAAGTGAGGGTGGCTCGTTATTCCTTCAAACTGAGTGTCTTTAGCACAGTGCTAAAACCACACTGTCTTGCGGTCAGGTTTTTGAACCAAAGGCTTTGGTTGAGAACCCCAACTGTTCTATCTAGGCCTGGGCTACTTGACATTGTCCTGCTCATGAAATAGTGAATTTCTTTTCAAACGATTTCATGATGCCATACTTCTCGTTGCTGGGGATAACTAACAGCGCCCTATCTGTTGCATCGAGCAGGGTGGATATGGATGAGGATGCTACTGCTCTGTCTCCCCTTCTTCTTATTCACCCTCTTGCGTTTTTTCATTTTTATCTTCTCGCTTTAATTTCGCTTTTAGCCCTCTCTTTGCTACCCAATTCTTGTCCTTCCATCTTGCTTCAGTAGGCGTTTGTCTTCTATTTTCAGATCACAATTTCAGCTCCAGTCGATAAGCCCATGTTCAGCCAAGCGGACAGTGTTGGTCTCTCGAGTTGCAGACTGACAAACAGACGGCACCTGCCCCAACACTGGAGACCCTGTCAATCGATATCCGCTGTTAATCGGAAGTTTGCCCATGGTATTTGGGCTCTGTGCTTACACTACGATCCTCACATACGACACTGGTTGCACATTCTCATTGCTTTTGTCTGGAGATAATGCAGCTTCAGATACTGGTCAAACAGGTGTGGTCATTGCTCTGAGTCCACAGGCTGATGCTGCTCTGATCGATTGGATCCCAGTTAACATCCTTCATATTAACTGGCTCGTTCAAAACTTCAATGTCGTGCGGGACAGTGTGTTGTCATTGCGACTTGCCCCCAAATACTGTAGCACTGACTCGGTTGAAGGTGATTTCTATCACTAATTGACTGAGCTCTTTCGCCTCAGAAAGATTGTGCACTCTGTGGTGTTTGCTTGTGACCAAGTCGAAAATTGCATTTGGGCAGCCAACGCAGCTTGAGCTTCCGTAATGACAACGGTGAGCGGTTGCTGCACCTGTGTGAAGATGCTCGCCTATTTCTCACGAACATTAACTTTCAACACCGCACCCGCAGAAGGGTGGCATGGCTCTCACTAACCGGACAATCCATGGACGCAAATCACTTCGCGATCAGTTACAGTTGGAGTGGCTGTGTCTCAAACTGCCATTCAATTTGGAGCACGAGCGTGAATTCCGATCATGTTCTTATACGTATACCCGTGCGCATAAGTTTCGACGGGCGTCTACAACAGCGCTATGATCGTGTAGATACTTTGCAACTGACGAAGCCAGTTTTTTCGATTTCGTATCAAAGTTCGTTGTCATCTGACCGGAGTAGATGCTCAATGAACACAGTTGTCTATCACTCGTCGCATATTCACCAGACGTTCTTAGCAGCAGGCATGTCTTTATGGGACAAATCAAATCACTAACCGTGGCATTTGTTCTCTATACACTCTCTAGAACTTTTGGGTGCTTACCGACCCATTCCGGCTAATAGCAAACAAGGGACTTGCTAAATTCTCAGGGCGCAGCTGCGTGCTAGCTTGAAGATCGACTGCGAAGCGTGGTGGTCTCCTTGCATTGGAGATGGTGATCAGCTGTCCTTGGTAACCATCGGAAGTTATTCTGTCTGATAAGATAAACGGGCATCAGGAGACCTGATATTAGCGAGACTGTATGCGACGAAATTTGGCAGCCAATCCACACCTTGTCAAAACTTTTGGAGCGTTGGGCTGAACACTTTGAAAGGTAATATTTTTTCGAGCGGACGTGATTCTCATCTAACCACTTTGCAAGCCAATTTAGTAAGCAGTTAGCATCATGTTTATCAGGCAGTGGACGCTTTTCTCCCTGGGCCGTATTTTTGGACCCCTTGCCTCAGGTGCAGAAGTGGAACGTGAGATCTTGCTGTTAAAATTGTATTGCAAAAGCCAGCACTGCCTTTTTGAACATGTGACATTTTTGGCGACAGAAACGAGTTTCCTTCTGAAATGCCGTGGTTACAAGACCCCAGTGAGGGCCGTCCTATTGTATGGGAGTGAGACTTAGCCCCTTTATTCTGGTGATCTGAAGCGCCTTCAATTCTTTGACCATTGCTGTCTGCAGAGCATTGCTGGTGTCGGGTGTCACCAGCGTATCCATAACGTTGACGTGCGTAGGCAAGTACTAGGCACTGATACCCAAGCTAGCTCATTAAAACTACAGTTAGCACTCAATAGGTTGCGTTGGCTTAGGCAACTACTACCTATGCCCGGTCACCGCTTACAGAGGAGGGCCATGTATTGTATGCCAGGTGTAGGGTAGCACAACGCTCGTTGTGGACAGAGGTTGACTTGGCAGCTGAAAATAAAACCACTGACGATCAAACTTGGTGCCGTCAGTCCGTCTCGTTTTTCAGGCTGGAGTGCACGTGACTCGCCTTGTGTCTTACTCGAGACTTTACAGGACATGCTCGCAGTCGTCACCGAGGGCATGCGTGCTGCCGTGAGTTTGGTGCTGAGCTATCTGCTGGGTAATGGATGATTATGACGCGGCGCAGGAAAGCTGTCTCGCTGATGCTGACTTATCTTTGCACGATAGCCAAGCTGTTTGTGACGTCATGTTTTTGACAAAGTGTAGGGCCCTTTACCCTGCTTAGGGCATTACAGTTTTCCAATAAGTCCCTCATCTCTTTTATTATTTTTCGTTTCGTAGCTCATTGTGGTTATATGGCAGCGAAGCATCAGTTTAAATGGCTTATGTAATGCTGCTGTTGTTCATGATATTAATGATGAGGTTGACGCAAACCTCGGAATCAGATAATCCCGATGTTCCTGTAGATGCATTACGAAATTTACTGGTGAGGTTCTGGGCACGGGAGACTGTCCTAGTGAACTGGAGCCGCTACGTTACTCCAGTTTTCAGTGATGCTTCACGTTTCGAATGCGTCAGTCATGGAGGATTCGGTTTGCTCTCAATTGCCTCAAAATTGCTTGTCTCTGTTCTCTACGTCGTCATCATTTTGCACGTTAGCTGCAGATGGAAAACATCTCAGCTGTAGTGCCGCAATGCAAAAGAAAAGAGAAATACATGCAACAGAGACACCTTAGCTGAGCCACCAATAACGGATGCACATTGCTCCGGAGTGGTAACAGCCTGCTATTGCCATATTATGCCTAATGATTAAGATCAAGTTTGGAGAGCGAGGCTAAGCGGAGCGGGATGGAAAAAGAAGCTCACTGATTGAATGGCACCCGTGTAAGTCAGATTCATACAGCGCAAGCCAGGTTTCTTCAAAATCGAGACTGCATCGACCACAACTTTGCTCCGCATTAATTGTTAGATCACCACCATCTCTATTGGTTGTTCTGCTTAGAGGTTTCCACCGACATCAAAGAGATGTTCAATTCGGTAGATCGATGTCCTGCCTAAGCACTGTCAGAGTGTTGGAAGATACTTGCAACCGATCGAGTAGTCATGAGTTCAGAGAGCTTTGGAAACATTCGGTTGGTATAATAGTTTGGTAATGTTTCGTCTTGGACAAAACGGCTTCGTCAGATCAGGTGAATCAGGGTGCAATTGGGGTGAGATTTTAGAGCGAACAGAGGCGATAACCACCTTACCCGAGACTTGTCATGACGTCATTATAGTACCAGTTCGTGATGTCACCTCAGGTGGTTCAATCACGATGGGAATAGTCCAGGTGTTCCTTTGTGCGTCATGACATTGACGGATAAGCCCATATTGTTGACAATGGGAGTCGGTTTGCACTTTCCAGTCTGATCCACGCACCGATGCTCGTCAGGCTGACCGGCTTAAGACCGCTCGCCACGCATCAGGGAATTCTACCCTTTCCATTCTATTCACGTAGTCGTCAGATTTGGCAATTTCCACCGCCTCAGCAATCAACCGCTGAGTTGTTGGTCGTATACCGCTCCTAATGACCTCTACGTTTTCGAGGTCTATCTGGTGACCCGTGTCTAATGCATGCACAGCTACGGCCGAGTCTCTTACTATTTCCTGGTATTCAAACTCGGTTCGTGGTAGTCTTGAAATGCGCCTCCTGTGCTCCGAAATTCGTGCGTGTAATTCTCTCACTGTTTGGCCTATGTACACATGTGCACACAGTTACTCGTCCTATCCTTGGTAAAGGGGTCCTTCAGGTGTACCAGCGCCGGACGTAACGTTCGACCTCGCCGAAAGATCATCCTTATATTTTCCTTGTTTAGTACCCTCCGAATTGCCTCCGAAATGCCTTTTACGAAATTCCG